GTATCACAATAATGCAGGAGGAGAGCAGTGTTTTCTTTTGAGATACCTTTGACTTGGCCTTCCAATTTTCAAAATGCACATTTAAAATTATCTCTATATAAAACCACTTGGAAGAGTGTATTTTTTTATTTCTTTTTTTTTAAAGAAATCGTTCTGTAATAAAATATTTCAAGTACTGGCTAAGCTGTAAAGCTTAGGGCTGATAAACAAAGCATCTGAAGCCAAATGGCCCCTTAGCTAACCCCAATTAAAATAAAGATTTCATTGCGCTCTGTCCTGACAGAGAGGGAACATATTGTTGCCTTTAAGGGAGTTTGGTTTAGTTAATGAAAGAATTTATTTCATTTTTTCAAACACAGAGCCTAATTAAATAAGTTTCAACTTGACTTGTAGTTGAGGACATTTTAACTCCTTAAAGGTTACTTTTGTGTCCAAGCGTAGCTCTCTTTTGAATAATTTCTGATGCAGTATTTAGTTTTGTGATTTATGTAATAAGAAATTTCGTAGCAGATCTCGTGTGAGTAACTACATGCCTGTTTTATATATACATACATATATGATATTTATTCTAAAAGTGTAAACTTGTTATTGCCGTTACTCTCTTCAAGCATCCTATTTGGCATTAAGTATTACTCAGAGATAGTGACTTACACTAGATTCTTAAAAGTAACGTGGAAATGAAGGTGGCACGGTTTTGCTCTGAATGCACTTCAAAAGCTGTAAATGATATATGTACATTGCTTACTCCTGCTGTTCAATGGAAAGGAAGATATATCAAAGAATTATTTTTGGTGAAGCTTTCCAAGCAGCGGTTAAAATCTGTCTCTCTAGAACATTTTTTCTTAGAGAGGATTAATGGTGAAAATGAAAGCAATTTGTAAGGATTACAAATGTGATTTAGTTTGCCTTTCTTCAAGATCCATCTGTACTTGTATAGGTAAAGTTCATCCCCCGTTTGTCAACTAATAGTTTATTACATATTCTCCATGAAGAATATATGAAAAATAAAGAACACTTTCATCTAAAGATGCTTTCTTCTTGCCTACAAGAACATTTTATACTTAACACTTGAAGGCAGTCAAAGAATGGGAACGCTGTCGCTTACCTTAGTTTCTTGCCTAAAATTTAAAAAATGTTAAATGGCTGCTGTGTCTCCGGCAGTAAAATCGTATGAGATGAGTTGCAGTCTCTACTGAATGCTAGTGAATAATGCTGTTTGGCTGTGCTGTTTATACTTTGTCAGGGTAGTAACTGTAATTAAAAGCACCTAAGCAGCATTATGCAGAAAGTGGTGGGTTCTTTTAAATTACTTGTTACAGAAGCTGAATCTAATCAAGGAAGTTCATGCTTAAGGTAAATAATTTTCAGTTGTAGCAGGTATGTAAATATTTTCCCTGAATGTATCTATGAAACTATAAATACATACTGTTTTGGAGCAGTGGCTTTCCAATTAATAGGGAGGGCTTCTTGATCAAAATTTTAAAAGCATACATATGTTGCATCCCCTCATTTGGGGAATTTAAGCTAATGTTTGGAATATCTGTTCTCTTCCAAATGTCACTTAATCATGCTTTCTCCTTTACATGTTGAATAAATTGCATTCCAGCTCTCTTAAAATGAGTTTCCAGGGAGAGCAAAGAAGCTGTCTCCAGTAAGGGGCTATTGATTTCCCTAAGTCGAAGTCATTCCCAAGGCTTTTGACTACTTTTGCTTCAGGTCTGTGTGATGCCGGATTTGACTGTTACCTTCAACTATGGAGGTAAATGATATTCAAAGAATTTCTACCTGTGTGAGCAAATGAATTAATTTTTTTTTGCAGATAAGTCACAAAATGCTTAATGGTTTGGGAGGGGCTTGCAGGGGCTTCTTAGCTGGAAAAGAGTGTTCTGTGGTGTGGGTATGAACATGAATGAAATTAAGGACTAGATGGTACTGGAGCCCTAAAAATCTCTTGCTTATTTGGCATATGTTAGAGATCTTGAGATAACTGAAATGCAGTGCTGTTCTTTTCTGTGAATTTCTGTAGATCATTATAATTAAGATGTGTTTCAGAAATCTCAAGAATAGTTGCCAAACATAACCAAAAATAAAGCATTGCATCTAGCCAGAGTTCTAGATATCCTCACTCTGCCCTAAAGCTACGTTTCCCATCCATTATCTTGTCATAGCTTATTGTGCTCAATTTTAATTAAATTTTAATAGCAATTTTGCAGTCGTAACTGACATGAAAGTTTTCCAAAGACTATTATACCCACAGGATATTTCCCTTATGTGTTTTTCTTGTTTTTTATCTTGTCCAAATTCTGTTCTTGGGAGAAGTCTTTGGTGACAGAGAGCATGAAACAGAAAATGGAGAAAGTGGTATAGTGACTTGAGTGACAAGTATCAGTTTCCAGCCAGAAGTAATCAACTGCATTTTGTATTCTTTGGGAACCTTGATTCTAATAATCATATAGCAAGTCTTAAAAATGGATATATTTGATAAGGATGTTGGGTTTTATTTAATTTTATTTATGCTCAGTGTAGTGTATACACTGAGTATTCTACATTTACGTTTCAACATACAGATGCTGAATCTTTAAATACAAAAACTACTTTTGCAATGCTGCAACCTGCAGTTCTTGCTTTCCTGCCTTTACGGGTGTTGTATTCACAAATGTTGTGCCCAGCTTTTACTTTGATATCCCAGAGTCTGAAAAGTCACTTTTTATGCTTAAAAAAAAATATTAAATAATGTTGGATCGTCAGTCCTTATTGCTGTATAGGAAGCCCTGTAATATTAATTGGTTGTCAAATCCCTAAGAAATAATGGATTAATGCGCTTGATCGTAATGCCCTGTTCAGAAGCTGAAGTTTGCTGATGTCCCCAGCCTCTCTATTTAACGCAATTACAGATATGCATTCAGGACATTTGAGTGGATTGCATTTCATTAATATGATTTGAGCAGACAATACTAAGTTGCTGTTGGGCCTGCTCTGACAGCTAATTACTGAAGTGAAGTGTGTACATGGCTAAGAAACAATGGAGCACTTGTCAGGAACATTAAAACAATGCAGAAATAGTGCCAAATCTTGGAATCGCTCCTCTGAACAGTTTTTCTTGTCTCTGCAGACCAACCTTGGGATACATATGATTGTGTGGTGAGTTAGACTTTAGGGACACAAAAGTTTGTTACCATTGACTAAAATGCAGTCTATAGTTCTGGTTTGCCCTTTCCTCTATTTATTTCAGACGCTTGTCTGCACTTACGCCGATTGCTAAACACACCTACCTCTTGCTTACAGACATCATTTTTGCACATTTTCCACCATAAAATGTCTAATCCGGTTATTGGAATACCGGAGATACTGTGAACGTCAGACAATTTTGTAGCATTATTTACTGGAAAAGGTCTCCCCGACAGTTTGAAGGAGGAGGATAGGGAGTGACTTCTCATCGTCTCTTCCAGTATAAAAAATCCAGGGCCAGTCAAGTGAGGTTTCTGTCAGCAACGGCTCAAAATAAACGAGCAGGAGCTGTTCTTTGTAGCAATCCTGCCAAGCTCTGTAGCAAATGAATCTGAAGAAGTTGGTATTGGTTTGAGGGGAGATTGGAGAGATACTTGGGTGAGGCCTCTGTTCGGGTTTATTTGATACACAAGCAACAGCAGACTCAGTAAATGTCTTGAGATGAAGATCTTGGTCAGATAGAGTCTGAGGGGGGAAATAACATTCAGGCTGTCTACCTTCCTGGTCTTTCCTGAACATCTGCTTATGACAGCATTGGAGGCAGAACACCAGGCCGATGGACTTTTTTTTTTTTGTGTTCTAAAGCTGTGGTTTTCAACTATTCTCTTGTCTTTTTTTTTTTCTTTACCCTGTATTTGGGTATCAACCACTGGAAATGAGATGTTGCTAGAGAGTTATGTAACATGTCGTAAAGTAGAAAAGAAAAAGCAAGAACTTTTTTCAGATGCTGAGTGGACAAGGCTCTCCCATCCCAGCTCCATTTCTGGCATTCTGAGGTCTTTGGTAACAGTTATCTTTCAGAAGAGACGAGGTTTCTCTTTCAGAAACTGTGCTGCACCTTTGGTGTTGCATACTTTTTATACCCATCTGAAAACTTCTTGTGCACGTCATTTTAGAGTAGATGCTAAAGCTACAGTGTGTTCAATACTGGGGAAGGGGGCTTATCTCAAGGCCTTTGTAAAAACCTGTGTTACCCAATGTGTTTTTGTCTTTATGATATATCTGCAGAATTACTAAAAAATAATACGGTGCTGGCTACAAAGCATTGTTATCATCCAATTCAACTGACTTCTGTATTGCTGTAAGAGAAGGTGCTAGCTAATACTGGAGATTTGTTTCTTTTGGTGTTAAGAGGAGTCTTGGATTATCGGTGTCGTTTATCTTGATGTGTGCAACCATATCCCTGATCATAACGAGAGCCAGTGCCACCTCTGAGCAGCTCGTCTTATTTAATCTGTGCATCTCCAAGTCCACAGGTAACATGGAGACAAGGGAGTTTGTATTAAATACACTTGAGCCTTTATTACCCAAGTGGTACTTGCTCGTCGTCCTGGTTTTGCAAGGCAGTTTTTCTTTCTAATCCTTAAACATTTTGGTTAGTAAATAAACAGAAACCGAGGAAACTGAGGTGGGTTTTTTCATTCCAGTGACAATAAGGATCAGCTAAATATGCTGATTTAATCATATTTGCAATCTGGTGATCTGTGCAAAATTGCAGCTTAGTTTCTTGGTCAGTATGAAAACGCACCTTTTAAAATGTGCCTCTTTTAATGATAACTCAAGAGTTCTAACTGAGGTCCTTAAGAGATTTTGCTTCAGTGTTCATTCACGAGTAATTCAAGGATCTACTACAAGCCACACCATCCAGCAATAAAATACTTGCAGTAGAAAAAGTAATCTATTTCTTGTTGAATTTGAATTGAATCTATTTTTTTATTCAAACAGAGGAAAATAATTTTTTTTTTTATTCAAATCTGCTACTTCCGTTGGAGAAAAAAAAGGACAGAAGCAGGTTGCCAGTAAAGGGTCTGTTCTGCCTGATCAACTCAAAAATTCATGTTGAGGTGCTGGAGTACTTTGCCATCCTTGCAATTCATTTTACAAAACAAGTTCCAGACTGAGCTCTGCTTTCATGTATTCTCTCTCCATGGAAATTATGTCCTTTTTCTCATTTCAAATTAGATGAGTACAATGAAATCCTTATTTTACATATTTATTAACAAGGCTTTCATCCCTGTGGTATTGTAACTATCCTCACTACTTTATGCAAAGAAATTACAAGGAGAACTCACAAACCTTTAGAAGGTATATGTGATCACTCTTTTTTCAAGCATTATTGCTCATATCTGTGTTCTTCTTGCACGTTGCCCCACCAACCATTATTTACTGGCCTTCCTTCCATACACTGTTGATGGTGGGTTTTTTGGTTTTGGGTTTGTTTTTGGTTTTGTTTTAATTCTGAAATAAATCACACTATAGACCTCATGTCAGGTTCAGATCTCTTTGCATATCCATTGTTAGAAAACTGATGAGTGAAGAAATGATGTTGACTCCACTGTCTGGCATGTGGAGGGTTAAGGGAATTTTTAGCCTCACCAAAAAGTATTTGGTCAGGTACTCAGGTGCTGGAAATTTTCTTAGCAACATCAGTCACCTAGGAACATGATCATCTGCTGTTCTGGGGTAGAGATTACAGAGCTTAATGATTAGCTACTATAAGCTGCAGCTGATGCCAGACTCTACCCCCTTTACACCTAATTAGCCTCATTAATGAGCTCTTCTGCTCTCCACAGAGAGGGCTTCCTCCTTGGAATAGGAGGCAAAAATACTTCACCCAGGTAGATGTGCTGAAACCTTTAATTATTGCCCACACCTGCAAAGCCTTGTGTCTCTGACAGCAATATTGCTTTGCTGAAATTGTGCTTATTTACAGTGACCACAGTACAAAGTATTAACTCTTTAGCACCTTAGGAATTGGTTTTAAGCTTTGAAAGTATTTGTATAGGGTATAAATCTAAGCACTCGAAAATTTTACACTTAATGAAGTTGGGAGTGTTGGGGGTGGGGGGGGTGGTTCGTATGTGACAATATGTTTTTAAAAGTTCCTGAGTATTCTGTTTAACCCTGAAAAATGAGTTTAAATTGCTGTTGAATGTCAAATATTGCATTACCAGGACTAAGAACACTGTTAGGCAAGTTTCATTCTTTAAATGAGGAACTTTTGCATTTGGAGCAATGTAATTTTGTACTGCTAAAATTAAAATATGGAAAAATACGCATGTAGAAATCAATCAGTGTAGCAGACAATGACCAAGCTAATGAAGTGTTTTGGTGTGATTCTTAGCTATAGCAATTATTGACAAATATCTACTACATTCTAGTGTTCAAATTCTTGAAATATGATAACATTGTGTTTGCTTTATTGTTTATTTGTTTTAATGCTAAAATAGCTATGTAACACTTTTGCATGTGCATTTGTGTCAAAGTGATTATGCCCACGTAGAGCAAATGTGAATACACATTTATCAAATCAGCTCAAAAGGCAGCTCAAGTCAGTGCTGATTCTAGTTTTTAATCAGGAAAGTTCAAAATGCTAATTTCTCAGTGCAAATACTGTGTTGGTTATTTAGTAACTTTTTCCACAGTAGCCAGCTTGCTTGAATTTTCAGTGGGAAATGCCTACTGTGAAAATATCTAGCATCCATGATGTAGATACTCCAGTGCCAGAAAGAATGTAATCCGGTCCTGCAGAGTAGTCAGCTTCCTTGAAGATGGAGCAGGTGGGTGACGGGTGTTTTCTTTTACCATTACTTCATGCTTATTCACCTGGCTTTCTCCGCTTCTAGCCTGTCAGGGCAGCAGGTGAAGCAATCACAGAGAAAATCTTGGGCTATGGGATGCTCCGAGTCTGCAGGCAACTGTAGTCACAAGTTGTGGTTCTTTCTGAGGGAGTTTGAGCCAAGGATTTTTTTTTCCTGGAAATTCGTCTTCTAACATGAATAGAAGATCATGTGCCTCCTGCAAGGCTTGTTCAGTGCCGATGTGGATAGGGCTTTTCAACCAAAGTTGTGAGACTGTTTCCCTTAAGATGTTCTTAGCAGAATGCTGAGCTAATTTGAACTAAAGCATTAAAGGTAAAAAGGAATTTGGAATAGAAAACATGTATTCGTGCAGCTGAAAGAGTATTAAGAAACTGAAAACAGGGTCTCAAAGCTGTGAGGTCACCGCAATAATTGACATCATTATTAGGAATTCTTATGAATATGTAGAGCAATGTTTGTTTTACTTTATTAATAATTAAAACAGCATCAAGCCTCACCAGCCAAGATGTAATAATGCACCGTGTGAATCACAGAAACTCGTGCATTTTTCCATGAATGCAATTTGAATTGAATGCCAAAATAAAGCATCAAAATGAGTGGTTTTTTTTTTTTACATATTTGGATAATGTTTTGTGACTTGTTAGTGCTCCTTATAACTATTACATAAATGGGACTGAAGTTTGTGGACTGTTCTGACTGAAATCTTGGCAGGTTTAGTTCTGTTTCCTAGGTGAGAAAGCCTGAGGTTCCAGGGCAGATGAGAAGGACTTTTACAAGATAAAAATTATCATTGAGGGCGCGTGGGTCTGGAGGGGAGCAGAGTTGGCATTTTTGGCCCAGCAAATATCTGCCCATCTGCTCTCTGTCAGAATATGTTAGAAGTGCATCTGGATCCGTGCCCCAGAGTTTCAGCTCGGAGCGGGTCATGTGCTTGTCTCCACGACAACTCAAGGAACTGTGTAAACTGCTGCGCTCCGAGCCAGATGCTTCGTTGCACATGTGGTCTAATTAGATGGCATTCCCCCCTGCCCCCCCCAAAGAGTTCAGAAATTTTGCATGGTTTCCATGTCAAAAATGTGTAGCTGATACAATGGGAGTTGGGAGGAGTCATGCGGCCAAACACTAAATAATTACACTTGCTGCAAAGCTCGGCTTCAGTGTGTGTGAGCT